GGCTGTTGGGCCAGGGCTCCTCCAGTTGTGTGGGAGCTCAGGGCTGGGGGGAAAATGAGGGGGGCTCAGGGCTCCAGCGGGCAGTGGGTGCGGGCTCCGACAGAAGGGTCAGGGCCGGGTGGCTAGCCTCCCTGAAGGGGGGGCTCACGCATCGCCCATGCTTACTCCCATGGAATAGGGAATAAGCGATACTTGTATAACTGCATCAACACTAGGGGTCCTGTTGACCAACATATTGGTAAAAAAATCATGGCACTAACAGACATAGTTCTAACAGTATAAAAACTATGTGAAGACCAGGCCTGAGAGACCCCAAGGTGGTGCTATGACAAAGACTTACTGTACTGATATCCCCTCTTCACCTATGCATTTCCCATCTGTGTCAGAATGAGAGATAATATCCCAAAGAAAACAAACCTTATACAAATTTCAGTGTTGCCAACTTTCATATTTTATCATGAGTGTCATGATATATGGTATTTTTCTTAAGCCCCACCTCTTGGAGTCATATGAATGCATGGGGATCTCCGTCTTGTAAGTATGTTTTTGGGCCCTCATGGGTGGGGAGAAAAGCTTTAAAAATGTGATCTGAGTATTCTAAACATTCAAAAACCAGATGTTAAATAAATAAAACTCAACATTTATGATTTTTTAAAAAATCATGAGGTTTTAAAGCCAATCTGTTGATTTTGGGGTGTTAACTCAGGATTTTTGAATGTTTGGGGTTGGTAATACTGTAAAATTCATCATAATTTCTGGCTTTATTGCTGGTTACTTGTGGCTGACAGTGCTAGAAATCAAAACAATTTCTTCATGAGAAAAAACATCTGCATTTGCCTCAAGATGAAAAGTGGTATCTATTAGTTCTGAATAGCACTGCTAGCTGCTAACTCCAGGCTCACTGACTCTAATGTCTAACACCTATTGAAAAGTCCATTTGCTCTCAGATGAGTAACTGTTTTCATACAAAGGAGAAGAAAACACCTCTGCTTCCCTGCCACACCCTTCCATGAAATGTAAGCAAATGTATTGCTAATGAAAGTACAGAACTAGCTTTGACTTGGCTCAAGTTCAGCCCATCCCCCCACCTAGGTCCTCAAATGTATGTGAATCCTGACCTATCTATATCACCCTTGCATCACAAGGGTATCTGGTGACCTTGTGCTATTTTGATCCTGTGACTCTATTATCATTCAGGCTAAACTGTACTGGTTTGTGATGTGGGCTAAGACTAGGAAAAGCCTCACTAAATTTATTCCCACCTGAAACTAGGATTTGAACTCAGCTCTTCAGAGGTGAAAGGCCACTGTAACCCACTATGTTCATTTTTATAAAACAATGTATTCACTAGTATCTACATAATTCTTCAAGCACCTTTGGTGGAAATATCACAACTACTCAACATGGCACAGACAGTCCTTTCTTGCTTTATACCTTTCCTTTCTCAGTTTCATGCCACTCATCTTCCTTTCACATTTCAAAACATTTTTATTTCTCTTTTCTTTGACGTAGGAAACATTTTCTTATAACATTTCAAATTAATGTTAGTATCCACTGAAAGATAACACAGCTATGAATTCAATGTTAATCTTTATCAGCCCCACCATTCTGTTTACCAGAAATTTTAATCACTTTGATAGTGTATTCCAGAATGTACCTTCTAACAAAAGCAATACAAATAATGTTGAACCATTAAAAAAAAGTTAGAGCCAAAAATGTAATCTTAACATGGCATTGGAAAATGGACCCAGAAAAGAGGCTTTTCAAAGGAAACAAGGAGCATACTATGCAAATAACCTGATACCAAAAAGATGGAGGCATTTTTAAAAATCCGTTGAGTTTAAACAAGGAAATATCTTCAGCAGAAGACTCATTCAACCCTCTGCACACTACAGTGGTCATAAACAACACTGGGTTACCTTTTGCCTTGGGTGAAACTTGGTGGAAATACCTAATAATTATGACTCCTCATCTCTTTAAAGTGCTTTGTTTCATTTTTGAAACCCCACAATTACCTGAGGTAAGGTAGGTTTACTAGTCAAAACACAGAAGTTGCCTATAGAGTTAAGCTCAGCACAAGAGAGGAAGTTCAGAAGGCATGGGAGCGAGAAGTTCTTCTTAACTGACATGAAAATAAGGCGCCAAGTATCAGGAGGTAGCCATGTTAGTCTGTATCCACAAAAACAATGAGGAATCCGGTGGCACCTTGAAGACTAACAGATTTATTTGGATATAAGCTTTCGTGGGTTAAAAACCTCACTTTTTCAGATGCATGGAGTGAAAATTACAGATACAGGCATAAATATTGAAATATGAAAATATGAAATATGAAAATAATTTTTAAAAATTAAAATCAACACCAACATTTCCTGAGCCTTCTTGGCAGCAGTCAGCTGTCCAAATACTTACCGCAGGATGGGGTCTCGTGTGAAAGTGTAAATAGAACCAGGTGAAGCTGAGATGTTTTAGTAATTCAATTAATCAATTCTGAAATCATCTTCATGCCTTTCTCTTTACTATGTCCCTAGCAGGCCTCTGCCCTTCCATTCCTCCCCTTACCCAAACATACTCTTCCTTGACAAGCATTGAGCTTGAAACACCTGCCATTGGACAGGCTCGCCTGGTGTTTTTCCAGAATCACTGAGACATCGGGTTCCTCTCTAACTAGCTGTCATTGGTGATGGTACAAACTCTCCTTGCCCTGCGGGGTTTTATTTCTTCTGATAGCCATTTAACAAGTGAATGCAGTGTTCACAAAAGGTGTAAAATTGACAACCCTAGAGAACAAAGTTTTATTTGCAATGGAACTGGCACTGCACTTGCTGCGTGCGCTTCCTCACGCTGCCTGGCCAGCACTCCTCATTCATCCTGACCAAGAATGACCATTCTAGGGGGTCAGAAGCCTTCATGCAAATCCTTGGATTCTGACAAAAGGAGTGACAGCCCTTTATTTATTTCTGCTCTTTTTGAATGAAGAATAAGCCTGTCCCTAAGCAAGTTTGTTTCTCTCTACACTGAATGCAATCGGTTCTGCCCTGCTACTGAAGATTCATATGTCAGCATGGTCTTGTAAACAGATCATGGGACTGTGAACCAGGAATTTTAATCCCTGCTCTATCATTCGCTTGCTGTGTAATCTCAGGCCTTGGGCAAATAATCTCTATGAGACTCTGCTTCCCCCTTTGGGAAAATGCAGATACACTCATGTTTACTCACTCTTATAAACGGCTGAGAGATCTATGTAGGAAAAAGGCCACATCATGTATAACTATCATTTTTTCAATACATCTGTGAGCTACATTGCACAGATGACAATTGTGTCATTGTACACAACAGTGTGTATACTGACAGAAGTGGCATAAAGTAATTGTTCTGGTAGAGGTAAACCCTGGAAGGCCCTCAAGCCCAGATCCACAAAGGGACTTAGGTGGTGCAATGCTCGCCTTTTAGGCACCTAGAAAATCACTGCAACAATGTAGTCCACAAAGCCTGAGCTAGGCCCCTCAGCTCCTGTACATGGGGAATGGGGAAAGACAGGCACCTCAGAACACAATCCACAAAGCCAGCATGCTAGGAGGGGAGCTGTCTAAGCTAGCCAATGGGCTATGTGAAAAAAAGGGTGTGTCCTAAAATACGTCCCTCTCGGAGATAGGCACCTAAGTCCAGGTGACAGGGAGGTGCTGTCTCTACTGGTGATCCACAGACAGGAACCCTTCTCCTGGAGTCAGGTGACTTAGATGGCTAAGTTGTTTCTGGTGAAAATGAGCTAGACAAACACCTAACTCCGCCCAAAGCAGCAGGGGAGTGGGTGTTGGGAAGGACCTCCTTTATAACACTTAGCTCAGTGGCTGGGGTGAGGAGGAGGTCCCTTATAGCCTTTAACCCAGTGGATAGGGTACTCACCTGGGATGTGGGTGACCCCCTCTGCCTGACAAGATGGGATTTGCACAGGAATCTACCACCTCTCAGCTGAGTGCTCTAATCACTGGGCTGTGGAATATTCCGATGTGGAGCGCCTGCTGTCGTTCCTGTTGAAGTTGTTCCACTTCAATTAAATAATTAAATATTAATTAGGCCAGTGAGAGAATGAGACATAATCTATAGCCGAGTGGTTACAACAACCATCTGAGAGGCAGCAGACCCCTCTTCAAATCCCTTCTCCTCATCAGGTGGAGGAAGGACTTGATCCAGGGTCTCCCACAAGCCAGGTTAGTACCTTAAGCTCTGGGCTAAAGGTTATAAAGGAGGTTATTTCCCCCACCCCCAGCTGTTTTGTGTGTGGAGTTGGGTGGCCTCTGAGCACACCTGTTGGATTGGGTCCCTTGGCAAGACTGGCAAGATAAGATAAGATAGTCTATCTTCCCCTGGTTTGTGAATTGCTTTGGGGCTTAGAGGGAGACAGCAGTGTGCATGCCCAGAGGCAGAAACAGAACACCTAACCAACTTCTAATGCAAAACCTTAGGAGTGCATTTTTGAACCTACACGGTTATGTGGCAGTCGAGCCAGATGGGGTTTTCTGGAATGCAGTCATGCCTAAAATGTGACTTAGGTGCCTAAGTCTGGGGGTTAGGTGCTCAAATACCTTTGTGGATCCAAGCCTCAGTGCAGTGGAACTGATGGGTAGGGAACCCACGCCTGGCAGAGAGAAGCATTCTCAGGATTGGGGCAAGGCTAGTAGATCTGCAACTACATACATACACTATGCAAATTCCCTCCTAGAGATGATGTGCACAGCAGTTGTGGATGCTGCTGTAATAGCTCCGGCTGACTAGGGGGAAGGAGGAAAAAAGGAGAATTCCATCCCCCTGCAAGTCATGTTTGCTCATCCTGAGCCAGATCATTTCATTTTAGGATATTTCATCTCTGTTACTTGCCACAATCAAAAAATGGTTTTAAAAAATACCCTGCTCATCTTCTTTTGATTTTTGGCTCTCTTTACTTGTTGCACTAGTTGCTCTTCTCAGTGTTACAACAATGAAAGAATGCTGTGCTGCTGCAATCATTTTAAAATGCTTTTTTTTATTTGAGCGGTTGCACATTGGGTGAATGAATTTAATGTTACAACAAAAATATAATGGATATTTAACAGATTGCTAATGGTTACAGTGAAAGGCATGGAAGAAGGGATTTCTTTAACTGTTATTGAAATATTCAGTATAAGTGCAGTCAATTACATTTTGTATGAAAGAGGCAAATGATAAGGTATTTTGGTGAAGTGCTGTTTCATTTATAGAAAATAAATACTGAGACATCTCAAGTAACTTGAAATCACGTCTCAGCTATAGTATTTACTATCTCAATGTTGGCCCATCTCATGGTTCTTTCTGGGGAGTTTATTTATTTATTTTAATTAAATAAAGCATTTAATGTTCACTCATCATCATTATAGTTTCTTTTTAAAATATATAAAAAGTTTTGGCAAATAATATTTATACAGAAAAATAGTTTTAGATCTTCCCAAATTTGTAACTGTTCTAAAAATTATTTGTTAATAAATAAAATGCAGAATCTGTTGAACATTTATTTGCACATCTGTGTAATTGCCTCCTTATGTTAGCACAAATCTGTTCTTGGAATATCACAAAGTTATAAAGTTGGAAAGTGGATCTCGTATTAAAAATACATTTTCTCTTTTGTTTTGTAGGTTTGTCTGAATGCAAGACCTGATGTATCTGAAGCTTTGTCACGAATGGGCAAAAAATAGTAGTACTGAAGTAATTGTAAAAAACTATAGAATAATTATCATGAAACATAAAAAGTTTGCACAAAACAATGTTTTAAACAGTCCTCTACATAAAATATTTAAACAATCTGGATAATTTACCATTTAGTCTTGTACAATAAGCTACCAAAATGTCTAAATGAACTATTATTAAAAACAAATCAAAACAACTTTGACAGATATAGGCAAGTTGCAATGTCAACTACCTAGTTATAATGACTGAGAAAGTCTACAAATATTAGTGTTTCAATAGTACATAATGGTGATACCTTAACTGCTAAAGTAACAGGAGTTAAGATACATTTTTTTCCACATAATAAAACAAATGCAACATTACAACCACTATGTTAATTTTACAATCAGATTGTGATTTTTTCTCTCTCGTTCGGGTGATCAGATCTACAGCTTTAATATAAATAGATCGCAATTAGACATTTGACAAACAAAATTTAGAACGGAAAATAATTTCCTAGACAACTAATCGTACCGTTAGTGCCTCTAGTGCCTTTCAGAAAAGGCAGTGCTGCCGAAGTTTAAAATAGTTTACAATCAATCTGAAAAGGTTAAGTTAAAATACTGCAATCACAAACTATGGCCACACAGAAAACTGATGTTGCCAACAATTATACATCATATTCACTTATAACAGCTGTTTTCATTTTTAAACAATAATTTAAAAACTACGTATTTGTGACGTGTGCAACGTACAAAATGTAAAATATGAAATATTTGGTACAGTAGTGCTGGAAACAAATCTTAAACCAAACCTAAATGAAATTTTAATTGTACATATGTAATTACCTTGTAAATCAACAATGTATTTAAAAAAGTAAACATTAAAATCTGTTTCATCCATATATATGTATGTATGTATATATATAATATGTATATAGTTGTATTAAAGATATCTTCATATTTCTGTGACATAAAATATGTTTTTAAAGAAAAAGGTTAAAATAACTAGCTTTTTCCCCCCTCCATGCTGTAATCCGGTTACAACCCTTTAATTCAATTTTAAAAAATGCAAGAACTGTAATGATTTATTAAACTGAAACTCTCCCTACATTTTTAATGTTTAGTTAATAATCTAGATTAAAGTCACTTATCAGGTTTTCAGTGACTGAACTCAATTTTAGTTAAATTAGGATATCTTACAAATCTCCTCATCTACAGCCTTTTTGTTGTTGTTGCTCTTGATAGAAGTTACCTCAACAGCAACTTGGTTCTTTTAGGTAACCTGACTGAGAGCTTAAAAGATCAGTCACTTATTGTGGATTAGATTGTTGGCATCAGCCTCACTTCCTTCAAGTCTGATGTGGCAAAATTTAGGCACTTCTGCAAAGTCTCTTTTAAAAACGTTATAAATACATTCGTAAAATAATATTTTCAAGACTCTGTTGTTTGGGGGTATGAAGTTCATACCGTGCAAAGTTTTAATTTTTTTCTGCTGTCCCATGATTCAATGCAGCTTCTCTATACAAGTCAAATATCAGCTTATGTGTATCTAAAGAATTTGTGCTTTACGTTGGATTTACTATTTAAAATCTTAGATTTACAGGGTGATGACCAGGGTACTGGGTTTTGTTTCACTTCCTTTCTTTGTATTGGAGTCAGGTGACTAAGGTAGTAAACATAGGACTTCTGGTTTTTCTGCTCGGTTACAATAACAATAATTAGGGTTAAAAATCAAACCTGCAACTAGGATATATTTTAGCCAATGTAAATTAATTATTGCTAAACTTGAAAGATTCATAAAATTGTGAATCTTATAATACTAAATTAATGGGGCCATCTGCATTAGCTATAGTTATGGAGATAATAAATATTCCTATGAAGTAAACTGTGTTTATAAAATCTTTAAAAGTAAAATGTTACCCTTTATGTCTTGAAACATCACAGCTGGTATCAGGTAGTTAACTATTTCAGGTTGGAATATATTAAGCATACCATATGTAATATTCATATATAATACAGCAGCACTAGCTTTTTAGAATTTCTGATCTGTCCATAAGAACAAAATCTTTACTTAGCATGCAGGTTGTGGCAATTCTAGAGAGGAGGAGACAGGATAGTATGTACAATAACAATGTTTTGCCATTCTCAATGAGGTCTCTTGGCATTCCACTCCATTCCTGCTGATTATTTCAGGATTATCTGTAAAGAAATAAAAATATTATTGGACTTTTTGATGATTTTATCCATTTAAAAGAAGGCCACTACACTACAATTTAGGCTTTGGTCTATTTAAAATTAAGACACAGATTACACAAGGTTTTCACCATCGACCTATGTTGGGTTTAGGCTTCTGCATTACACAAACTTGTCCTTTCCCTCTCAATTACGACCCTCAAGAGGATGCAATCAGACAAAGGGGATATTACACTTGAAAATATCAGATATATTTCCCCTATTTTTCCAATAAAAAAGCAAGAAAGAAAAATGTCAAAGTGAAAAGCGAAAGTGCAGTTATTGGGCCAATCCTTAGAAGTGCTGAGTGCCCTAAATACTCCTTTAAATCTATGGGAGTTGAGGCTACTCTGCACCTCACAGGAGGAACTCAGGACCTCAGAGGATAGGAATAATTATTTGCTACAATTTTAAGGTTCAAATCCTTCTCCCATTAAAGTCAATGATGGGAATGGGGCGCTTTCCATTGACTTCCACAGGAGCAGAATTGAGCCATGAAATTTGTTGGGCTGGATGCCTCAAACAAGATAAGACACATAGCAACATTTTTCTAATTCTTACTTTTTTTGGCAGGTCAATGAAGTGAAGCACCTTTCCCATGTAATGACTAATCCTGCTAGTGTGACATTTCAGTATACTAGAGCCCAAGAGTGCTGGAACCTGTTCTCTACCAGTCAATCATTTTATTTCCCATACAGCAAAGGTTAACAGTATTATTTTATACCCTGTATAATATACTTCAAACGCCCCTACTGTACAGTATTGGAAAACAAACCAGACTTCCATCACCCAAATAGGCTAGCTAGGCTAGCTACAATGCCCTTTCCTACCGGGTGTAACATCACCACCTGGGGGACATGCTGCAGTATCTCACTATCACCAAGCCTCTACTTCAGAGCTAAAAGTGAAAGGCTGGTAAGCACAGGATATGTGCTGAAATGCCCCCTTTTTCCCCTGTTCATTTGGGTACTCAACACATTTTCAAGCCATATTTGTAGGTCGTATATAACACAGCATTAAATAGTACTCTGCCCATTTACGAATTGAAAGCTTGTGCCATTGTTTACTGTGGTATTTATCTAAAAAAATAAGATGCTTTGAAAATAACCCCAGCAACATACTACCTCTGACATACAGATCACCAAAAAGAAACACACTCGCCCATCATGGACAGCCCTTTATTCCAGCCACATATATGATTACTGATGAGGAGTGCTCCAAGAGCTGCTGGAGCACGTCTATGTCTCTACCAGTTTGCTGCTGTAGGTACAGTATGCAATCAAGATGGTTTAACTATTACAACCATCGTCCTGTGGGTACCCCAGAAACCTCAGCTCACATGTGTGGGACAATGAACACCAAGATGTTCCATTTCTCAAAGAAGATGACTGTTAATAATACACTGTATTTCCAGGAGTGACATCAGTGTTGTCACGTATCTGCAAGTTGCACCGTTTTCCAGGTAGGAGCTCTGGAAGTGTTGTGGTCTGGAGGTGGATCAGATACTCAAAATTCTGAATTGTTGCTTTTCAAGGTACCTAGTTTGGTCATTCTGTTCAAACCGTCAGTTCTAGAAGGCTGGAATAGCAGCTCCTACTAATGTTACTGAATGATCTACTTCAAGCCTGGATTGTAAAAAAAAATAAATAAAAATCAGTGCTACTCTGAGAGGAAAGAAATGCTCTGTATGACCAACTGGAATCTGCCTGCACCTATGAGCTTTGAACTTATTGGCATGCCAACTTTTGTATCTTTATTATCATTTATATTTATATTTATTATCATTTATATTTTGGTAGGCTCTAGAAGCTTCAGCCACAAACATACATCCGCCACCCTAAAGGACTTAAAATCTAAAAAAAGACAAGACACAATGGGTGGATGAAATAAACAAATGAGTTGGGGAGGGCATAAGGGAGGATGAAGGAACAAAGATCTGATGATTATTAAACATTTGAATTGTGGTAGTGCCCAGAGACAAGCCAGGGTTGGGGCCCCATTGTGCTAGACACTGCACAGAGTAACTGACAGTCTCTGCCCATGGTGGATGTTTTAACATGGATTAACTGTTTGAACAATTTGTAGCCAGTAGTAGCATTAATTGCAATTTCCCACCTGTTTCGCCATTCTCATATGGCAGTTTTCTGTATACATCACGGTTTTAAGGAGGATCCTGAAGGAGAATAAGGGGATGCCTTTACGAATTTTGACAGGGAGTCTTTCCCCACCCAAGTGGCAGCATGGGGAAAAGGGTGAAGGTATTTGTAGGAGATGTGCGCATGCATGGCCCTGCCGACCCTATGCCAGTTCTTCAGTTCCTTTTTGCCGGCAACTCCGATGGAGGGGCAGGAGGGCGGGAAATGGAATCGACATGAGCAACACATCTCAAAGAACAACAGTTATGAAAGGTCGGTAACCATTTTTCTTCGAGTGCTTGCTCATGTCGATTCCATTCTAGGTGACTCACAAGCAGTATCCTCGGAGGTGGGCTTGGAGTTCACAGCCTAGTGGGTTGCAGTACTGCTCTACCGAAGCCAGTATCAACCCGAGCCTGCTGGGTAAGTGCGTAATGGGATGTGAACGTGTGGATGGACAACCAGGTGGCCACCCGACAGATGTCCTGAATAGGCACTTGGACTAGGAAAGCTGCCGAAGAGGCTTGCGCCCTGGTTGAGTGGGCAGTTATGATTGCCGGAGGTGGCACCTTTGCCTGATCATAACAGCAGCGAATGCAGGCAGTGATCCAAGACGACATTCTTTGAGCGGACACTGGACGACTTTTCATCCTGTTGGCCACAGCAGCAAACAATTGCATTGACTTGCGGAATGGCTTAGTCCTTTCAATGAGTGGTGGCAAGAGGGTGGCCTTGCGTGCACAAGATCAGGTCTGCCATGGCTTGAAACCGAGCCTCAGGGAAGAAGGCTCTGGCCAGAGTAGAGTCAAGGACAGCTCCAATGAACTCTATGCGTTGTACTAGAATTAAGGTCAATTTTTTTCTTGTTTATCAAAGCCCCAGATCGCGACAGATGGAACAAACCAGATCAAGATGCTGCTGCACCTGATCCCCGGACCAGCCCCTTATTAGCCAGTCATCAAGGTATGGATAAATTTGTACACCTTGGTGCCTCAGGTAAGCGGCCACTGGTGCTATGCACTTTGTAAACACTCTCGGGGCTGATGAGAGACCATAGGGCAGCACCATGAATTGAAAATGGCAGTGGCCCAAAACAAAACGGAAGAAGCACCTGTGCCCCAGGAAAATGGAAATATACATCCTTCAAGTCGAGGGCAGTGTACCAGTCTCTCAGATCCAGTGAGGGGATAATGGAGGGCAGAGAGATCATGCAAAACTTTAACTACTTGAGAGACTTGTTGAGACGGCGCAGGTTCAGAATGGGTCTGAGGCCCCCTTTTGCTTTTGGGATTAGGAAATAGCAGGAGTAGAACCCTTTCCCCTTCCAGTCTGAAGGGACCTCCTCTACTGCCCCCGGGCATAGGAGGTTATCAACCTCCTGAATGAGTTGCTTGTAGAACCCCAGGCCCTTGACGGAGGCAGAGGATGGAACGGCTTTCTAGCCTGCCGAGGGGTGTGCAGGCCCAAGGAACAGAGGGTGGCATGGGAGTCTTTAAGGCCATGGAGCCGTGCATCGATCAGATCCAAAAAAAGCCCTGCACCTTCAAATGGGAGGTCCTAAAGGGTAGTCTGCATCTCCTGGGACAGCCCGGAGGACTGCAATCAGGAGCTGCGCCTCATGACCACCGCAGAGGTGACCACCCTGGCTGCCGAGTCCGTAGCGTCCCAGGCCATCTGGAGGGTGCCTCTTGCCACCGCTTTGCCCTCTTCCTCCAAAGCGGTGAATTCCTGGGCTCGGTCCTGTGGAAGGTCCTCCTTGAACTTGCTGATGGAGTCTGACAGGTTGAAGTTGTACTGCCTAGCAGGGCCTGATGGTTAGACACCCTAACTTGAAGGCTGGCTGTTGAATAAATTTTCCCACCAAACAAGTCCAGCCTCTTGACATATTTATTTTTCCGTGTGCCACTTGCCTGTTCTTGCCTGTCCCTTTCGTTGACGACGGACACGACCAGGGACCCCGCGCTGGAGCGTGGGTATACAGGTATTCAAATCCCTTTGAAGGGACATAGTACTTATTTTCCACCTTCTTGGAGATAGGCGGAATGGAAGAGAGGGGTCTACCACACAGACTTGGCAATTTTAAGGACCTATGAGTGGACGGGCAACGCGACCTGGGCCGGGGTGGAGGAGGGTATGAATTTAAAGAGGTCATCGGACTCCTCCGCTAGCTCCTCAACCTCCAAGTTCAGGTTGGCAGCCACCCTTTTGAGCAGGGCCTGGAAGTCGTCAGGGGGACTACTCGTTTGTGAGAGGCCTGCCACCGCTTTGTCCGGAGACGACAAAGACGACTACACAGCAGGGGGCGGGGTGGCTTCCCCTTGCTCGTCTGGGGATGGCTGCTTGGGCGTCAGGGCCCGTTGTGTTGCCCCCGTGTCGGATTCTGCACCATGCTCTGATTCAGGTGCCAACTGTGCCAGAGGCAGTTAGTTCGATGTGGCCTGAGAGGAATGGTGGGAGTATGGGACTGGCATGACAGGTATACCTCACGGGCTCCAGTACTGCCATTGGGCAGGCCGCTGCCCCTGCTGCCACACTGTCACTGCCAGTGCCCTGCCTGTCTTGGGGGCCATCAGTGATTCGGCTCTCATAGGTGAGGGGCTGAACTCTCCCTCTGGTTTGGACCACTGCCCTTCCGGCGACCAGGGCGGAGCCGTAGATGCCCGAGTCTATCGGCTGACCTTTGTCTGCGACCAATAAGGAGAGGATGAGGACCAATGCCTGCCTGAAGAGCAGTACTGGGGAGCCAGAGACCAGTGTCATGACTGGGAATGATCCCATACCAGGGGGATCGACGCCTGGGAGATCGCCTAGGCGATGGTGATCTGCGCCATG